GATGTTGAAGTCCTGGGAATGACTTGGCAGTAATGCTACATACACACTTACTTTCTATTCATAGGATCTTTAGTTCCCTCCTGCTAAACAGGATATGTGTTAGTAATGCATCTTCTGATCTCACAAATGGTTTTAACATGCAAAGCATGACGACAACAGATTGGTTTGCAAACCAAATGGATTAAGTAAAAAGACCCATTTTCGATGGGATGATTGAGTGGGGGAACTGGGTAGAGGGAGGGCTGTTTAAAATTCGGAAGGGCTCAAATAACGTGAACAAAAATAGACCGTTTCCACTTGTTGGTGAATCCATAAAAGTGAGTCTCATATCCATCAATATAAAATAGCTACTAACAGGTCTAAATGAGAGCTTAGGAGGAATTTCTTTACACTGAGGGCGGTGAGAATATCGAACAGACTTGAAGCTGTGATTGAAGGAGAAAGTATTCATACATTTAAGAGAAAATTCAATGCACATGTTACGGAGAAATAGAGTGGGTGGGGAGAGATTAAGAGGATTAATATGTTGGAGGCTCATGTGGAGTACAAACATTTGCACAGACTAACTGGGCCAATGGCTTATTTTGGTACCATAATTACTACGTAATTCCCATCTCTCCAGATCCTGAGCTATTAGCCACACCAATGGGGCTCCCAGTAACACACGTAACCTGTGTCTTGAAGTGCATTCATTATGAAACATAACTTGAACTAAATTAAATCTCAGCGAAGTCTGAATACAAGAAGCCAGTTATAATAATGTGTTAGAAACATAGCGTTGCTCCAAAGTAAATGATAAAAAAGTCACTCCGCATTTCCCATTTTGAGTGTCAACTCAGAGCTCAGGACTAAGACAGATGCAAATATGGTAATTAAATCACTTTTTTCCCACCAGGAAGCTGAGACCAGTATCAGCAGACATTAAACGGAAATCCAGTCTGCCAGTTCAGGTGGACGTTAAAAGATGTTGCGATCTCTTTATTGGGCACTGATGTCCTGCCCAGCAATCCTTCAGATAAATTGGTCACTCACTCATAATATTATTAATAATCCTTGCATTTGATATAGCAGTTGGGAGGACGTCCCAAAGCGCTTCACAGAACACACTGTAAAGTGAATTGACTGTATATTTGTGGGCGAACGCGGCAGCCAATTGCGCACAGCAATGTCCCACAAACAGTCGTAGATTGAAAATGACCAATTTATTATTGTTTTGGGTTTTGGAGGGATTATTATTAGGCTCTGTGTGGAGTAAGGAAACTTGCCCAAGGTTTCGCCCTCTACCTGGAATTGAACTCAGGTCTCTCACTTGCAAAGCGAGTGCTCTAACCACTGAGCTACAGGACTCCACAGGGCTGTTTGTGGAACCTTGACCTGTGCAAATTGGCCTACACAATACATGCTCATGACTCCAGCAGTTACCCCAAAGCGCACTCTGAAGTCCGCAAGCTCTCGCCAACCTGTGCCTAATACTCTCCGGAATTAGATAATTAGGATGCGTCCCTCCAGAGAGAGGGTATTCCATTCCAACAGTTTATCTCTGGGATTTCCATGTGTACGTGGGATGCATGGAATTCTCAGCTTGGTTTGGAGACTCTTAAGCAACGGCAATGGGTATCTGCATGTGTCAAACTCTCGGCTGACCCAAAAAAAATCAAGCTCACGATATTTGTAAGAAATTCCCTGTGATGCTCTTTGAGATGTTTCAGTGTTATATACGCTATAACAAAAGCAAGGATTATTATTATTGAAATAAGATGTCAAAAGCCCCATAAGGGAACGAGAAACAAAGTAGACTAAATTTGTCTGGCCAACACAATTGGAAATTTAATGTAACCCTAACTGCTGATAATTTTGCCGAATACAATTCCACCGCACATTTTTGGGATGATAGTCAGTAATTTTGCAGAGGCACAGGGCTTTATTATTTTAAATTTTCACTTGTCAACCTTTAACCTCACTCAGACAGATTGCACAGCTATGCTTGCCACAAATGTCTAGTTGGAGCCAGTGCAAGAGATAAAACAAAACTTTTGAAACTTAGAAGTCTTCTGAAACTTATTACACAAGAGTTACATGAAAAATAAACAAATACACTAAAACTAGAAGGGCAACACTAGAGTAGTGAAGTGTATACATTAGTAATTGCACCTTCCACAGAAACAAACTTTTGTTTTTGCAGCTTTTCTGCTGGGCGAAAAGAGTGGTTCCAGTTCTACAGAGATGAACTTTTTCGAGCTATTGAGATAGTCTTGTTCCACGAATGGCACTCGAACTGTATAAAACTTACCAAATTAATTTCAAAGATAAACAGAAGAGCATCCAGCATAAACATAAATCACCCTTTACACCAAGCAGTCACTTTTCAAACTGATTATGTAAACTGTGCACCAAACAGACCATCAGTGCGAAATAAACATAAAACAAGGAGAGAAGCAGCTTACATAATACACTTATGTGGAGAGTACGTGAAAATATTGTTATGGATTGCACTCCGTATTTGATAAGAAATTGTTTTGATAGTAACACACAATAAAATAAACTCACAAGAATGTTGTATTAACTGAACAAAAGCAGCCAGTCATTTGTAATACTCCTAATAGCAGTGCTTCTTGCATTGAGATGTCTCAAAGCGCTTCCCAGAATATACTGTAAAGTGAATTCATTGTATATTTTGTGGGTGAATCTTGGCACCTTGGCAATTGGGCACAGCAGCGTCCCACAAACAATCGTGGATTGAGTGAACACTTTATTGTTATCATTGTTGTCAGACTCCGCCACTGTGAAGCGTTTCAGAACGTGAAGTGTGCTAGATAAATGCAAACTGTTGTTGTAATCCTCACGTTTGATACCTTTCACATCAGGAGGGAGTCTCAGAGTGTCACGTTTCTAAAAGCAGAGAATAACGCACAAGGAATTTGCATCTTTAAAAAAAAGCATGTTTGAAAAAAAGTATGGAACAGATCTGAGGATTGCAACCAACTGTTGCCAGGATGGTGCAGGCAGAGACTGGCACAGAATGGCTTTTTTGTTGATAGCATGAGGTATTTAAGCGTTAAGAATAGGGCCCGTAACTGAAACACAGGTGTAGCGCTCTGGGACCCTACCCCACGTGAAGGGCGCTATATAAATGCAAGTTGTTGTCTATGCCAGAAATTCTGCCAACGGGTGAGACTGGGGCCTCAGATATATTTTTGCTCATCAAAAGAAATAAAAATGTTCATAAGTTTTCCATGTTCTAATCCTGACTGGTGCAATTTCCTCTCTGTATTTTATTATGGGGTAACTTTTCATTTTACATGACACAGAACAATGCTTCTATTCACAAGCAGCACTTCACCATACCCAACTGCCATCCATATAATTTGTCAAATACTTCCGAGATGTCCTACTCATGCTGCAGAGTCCCGAAATTCTTAGCCTAGACCTAGACTTAGCCTGTAAGAACACCGCTTCTTACAAAATATCACAAGGATTTGTGGAATTCTTCAAATCAATCTGAATTGAAGAGCAGTTGCTTCTTCATAAGAACGATTATCAAATTAAGACTCAATCTATGAATTTTTCACGCTCGTTCCTAGTATTTGTTTTCTTTTTTGGTCAGTTCCATGCATCCCATCTACATGTGGAAATCTCAAGATAGATGGTTGCAATGGAATGCGCACTCTCTCCCTGGAGGAAAACGCATGCTGCTTATCTAACTCCAGAAAGGATTAAGCACAGGTTGGCAAGAGTCAAGGCTTTGGGACACTAGAATTTGTGTTGGGGCACCAGTATTTATTACATGTAGCATGCAATGGTAATTTCATAGTGTGGACACAGGCTGGAAAGTAACACTTTCAGATTGAGAAATATTGAAAGTTGGAACGACCCTATGATTGAAAGGACAAACCGGCCCAGATACAAATACTGTTTATTTAATAAAGGCAGACACGTGATCAGATTTTAAATAAAATTAAACGCAAGACATTTCATAACATTGAACTTTGTAATATTTAAATAAAGCCTTACATGGACAATACACTGGGGGAAACCTTTGTAAAACCTTCAACTTAAAATAAAATGAAGAAAGGACAATTCGGTTGGTGAAGCGAACTTTTACTCAGAGCGAGTGAATGCAAAGTGTAGTCTGAATGATGTGGTGTTTTGTCAGAGTGCTAGAAGACCACCTCGAGTGTCAAATCCTGATCTATGACAGCATCAATTGTTGCGACTGATCAGAGCAGTCAGGATCATAGTTTATTTATCTGCGTTGCCCCTCCAGCTGAAACATCTAATGGGGGAAGAGAAGGGAAGTGGAAAACTTGTNAAAAAAAATCACAGGACCCATTGGATCTGTATTTAAGGAATCGCTGTATAAAGCTCACAAAGACTTCGGTTTGCTTGTTATCAAGAGTTAAAATGAGAAGCTGAAGAGTTTATTCTCTTCCGACAACAAGCCAATGAATTTTCAAAGTAAACAATTAATTGTTAACTAACATATTTCACCAATATGGAAACCTAGATGGAACAAGCATCAATAAACCGATTCAGACCTCTCGAAATGTGAAGAGAGAAAATAATGTGGGCACTGACTTATCAAGATTTCGTAAAAACTTGAAATTAATAGTCTCCAATGTTGACTGAAACATTAATGTAATAACATTAACATTAATAAGAGAGTCCTGGTTGAAGCAAACCGGTGAGTCCGATGTGAGTCCCTCCATTGACCGATGCTTTCCGTTTGTTCTTTGGAGAACATTCCCTTTTGCAACGCGAGGCGTTGATCATTCACAAAGCAACTCTGAAAAGTAGGAGAAAAAAAAAAACAATTCATTGAGGCTCTATTCATGTCACTATTGGTTGGTGAATGTCTGCATGTTGCAGTCATTTGGTAAAATTTGTGGTTTTTCCATCAAATTAGCAAACGAGATGACTATCTCATTACTCGTCACACATTAGCTAGGTGAGCATCGCCACAAAATATACAGTATACTCTGTGAGGTGCTTTGAGACGTCTGGAAGACGTGATAAGGCGCTGTATCAAATGTAAGGATTATTATTATCCCAGCCAGAAGCACTGAGAATCCCCAACAGTTTGATTATTCTTATCTTGATGCCTTTGCCTCTTTCTCTCTACTGCTGATGCATGAATTTAAGATGCTTTAGGTTGTGCCTTGAATCTTCATCAGCTGTAAGAAAATGGAGCTTTTTTTTAAAAAAAGGGACACATTGTCCAACCTTTTCATCATTTCCAACACGACTTCCCTAAGTGAACATGGAACATGGCTGTGGTTGAGTGGGGGTAAGTGGCTTGGTATGACGCACTTCCAATTTCCCACTGGGAAAGGGAAAGATAGGGAACTCAACATATCAGCGAAATCTCAGGCACAACCCATTTCCTTCCCCACTGTGATGTAATTTTACTGTAATGATTTCTGTCACTAGATGTGTTAGATGTTTGGCTACAAGTCATCTCGCGCTCACTACTTGTTTCTGCTTTAAAATCATCTCTTCTGGTCCCATTTGTGGCTCAAACTCTAGTGTTGCACAAAATACCAAACTTTTAGCCATTTTTTTCTCTCCACTGCCTCTGACTTAGTGCTTGGACAGATGGGAGGCAATGACTAGACATCACAGAGCCATAACGATTAAAGATTTCACCAGCAGAAAATGACAGCAAAGATGACCCATCTGTTAATGCAATGTAATTTATATCATTCTGCCAACAAATGCCATAACAAAAATTAATGTCAGCTGACAGATATTGCAGCACTTGTTGCCTCAGATGTTCACTGTTGCTAAGGTGTACTTTCCTTTTATATTGTCTGGGCGGATCTGTTCAGTTACCACGAAGAGAGCAGACTGGCAGGGTAAAAATGGATCAAAGCAGCCATCCTTGAAGTGGGTACAACAGATCAATCAAGCATAATGGATAAAATCTGTGAAAAGTACAAAGTAGTATGATGAATAGAGCCGTTCCCAGTAGTCACGGTCCATGCCTGATTCCTTTGCCTCATGCTTTGCGTGCAACTAAGCCTCTTGAATTATCCATAAACAACCATTAATTTATATCAGGGCAGAAGGAAAGCTGGCCATCTATCTCTCCCAGTTGCTGCGGTACATATTCAGCACCAGTCTTGCACCTCTAAGTGACAAGCTAGTGCCCTTTTCTTTGCTGAATCAAGAAGCTTTCTCATTCACGGCACGTCAACAAATTAACAACTCAAAACGCCGTACAAAGCTTGAAGNTTTTTTTTGCCATGACTCCCCAAAACGAGATGTCTTCCCTAATTCATGACAAGTCTTCCTATGCAGAAGTTCAGAAATTATGAGATGTGGTAAAATGTATTCTGACCCAATTACCAATATGTAGATAGTTGCTTCATTTACTTGTGGAAAAAGTGGGAAAGGGAGAAGTCTTCAAGTGCTATCTGACACCTGCTGAACTCATTTGACTAACTGGACGCTGGAGATAGTTGTACATATGTTTCGCCAACAAATTATAGTCAATTCACTTTACAGTGTATTCTGTGAAGTGCTTTGAGATGTCTCAAAGATGTGATAAGGCACTATACCAAATTCAAGGATGATGATTATTATATGTGAGACACAGTGAAGTGGATTGTTTGGTACCTAGATTTTGTTTGTTTTACTAGCAAAGTTTGTGGGGGAGAATTTGCCTTCAATTTTAGATTTGTGGCATTGGTGTGTGTATGCTCCAGTAAGTCAGATGGAATTTAAGTACCACCTAATACAGGAATTTTGAAAGTGGTATGTGAATCAATCAAATCTTCATGATCCAATAAGGAACAAGAGCTGAATTTATTCATTCTGAACACTAATTGGAGAGGCAGTGCAGGAGAAGATATAAATATAATCTAAGTTTTAAAAATTATGAAGGAAATCAAATGTAAGATCCTAACCTCAGTTCTCCTCTTAACCAAGGAATTTAAGGATGATCAGTGATCGGGTATGCAACTCACTCGCCTTCCTAAATAACCTGGGAGCATTCAAACATAAAGCGATTCACATCAACGCTCTTGGTCTCATGGTAATGTAGCCTGTGTGGCACTGTTATTACGCAGGATTTTAAGAGGCAGAGTTTTTCTTTCCCTGCAATGTGCCACCTTGTCCAGTCTCTCACAGACGCTAATCTTTCATTTGCACAACTTTTTCAAATCCTTCTTTTAATGTGGTCGTTAATCAGACGCCTAGCAATACAGAGACAGAAGAATTTAAACTCTACTTGTTCTATGCCAACTTGTTATCTCACAGACCCCCAACTCCCGAAAACAGAGGCTAAACAGAACTAAACAAGGTTTTATTTGAAATATAGCTTTTGCATGAAATCCTGAGTGCATGGGAAGTGGGCTTTTCTAATTGGAACCTGGGGCTTAGTTACACGTATATTAATCTAGCTTGCTGAACGAAGTGACCTGTAGAAAAGTAACTGTATAAAGAGTATGATAAATTGCTTGTTTCTGAATGTGACTCCTGCTCGACAAGTCAGCAAAAATGTCCTCATCACCTGAGAACAAATGTCCCTGGGATAAATTGTTCAAAGCATGTCAACTAGATAATTACATTTCGCTTCCTGACAAAGGTATGATTTGCTGACAGGATTATGTTTTTTTTAAAATGTACTTATATATTTTTTAAAAAATACAAAAACAGGAAAGAGTTGAAGTTTAGAGCAAATGTTTGTCGATCTCGTAGAATCTTGATAGAATTGTATAAGATGCACAATCCACTTCTTTATAATTCTCCCCCCCAAAAATGTAATATAAACATTTATGTGCAGAGTGAACTTTTGTACTCTGTTACAGTGAAGAATGCCAATGCTGTGAAATGGAACATTTTTCCACTTTCAGCCTCCAACTGCAATACAACGCACTCCCGGGTCAGATGTAGCACGGACCAGATGTACAGTAAACCTGCCTTGAAACTGCCTGAACAATTCAACTCCAAGTTCAATGCAAATTTCTCCACTTTCCAGACCAGAACAGACTTTTATAGAAGAGATTAAAAAAAAGGATGCTGAAAATCAGAAATAAATGATAGATTTAAAAAGACACAGAAAATACTATACTGGAAACCCATAGCAGGTCAATCAACGTGCAAAACGAAAAGATAAGGTTAAATTCACATTTGCAGTTCAGGTCAATAATTTTGCTTGTTCAGCACATTTCCCGAAACATTAATGTAGCTTTCAGATGCCATCATTTGCAGTATGCGCATTATTCCAGCCTTCTCAACAGTTGAAAAAATAGGTCAATTATTGCCGAGTTATACATAATTATATACTACGGACTCTCAACCTGGTTGATTCAATTTACTGAGGAGTCTTACAACCAGAAGACAAAGGAGCACGGACCAGATGTACAGTAAACCTGCCTTGAAACTGTCAGTCCAGGCTCAATGCAAACCCGGGTCCAGGAATGAAAGGACGGTGTGATAATTTACTGTCCTAATATAATTAATCCTTTCATTTGCATTTCACGTCTTCTAGACATCTCAAAGCGCTTCACAGAATATACTGTAAAGTGAATTGACTGTATATTTGTGGGCAAAACACGACAGGCAATTACACACAGCAGTGTCCCACAAACAGTTGTGGGTTGAAGTGACCAATTTATTATTGTTTTTTTTTCTTGAGGGATTATTATCAGGCATCTGGAGTAAGGAAACTTGCCCAAAGTTTCACCCTACTGGGAATCGAACCCAGATCTCTCGCTTGCGAGGCAAGGAGTCTAATCACTGAACTACAGGTTATACCTTGTGTCCTTCTATATACTCAAAACGTACGTTTGATTAAGTTCCAATTCCCATTTACAAATACAGTCTGCAGCTTTACTTCATAAGCATTGTAATGGTGGTGTTGATTTCTTCCCATATTGTTCAGAATACATTTGTCAACTTCGGTTCATGAAGCCTTCAAATCTGTTTTATTCGATGTCTCACACATGTGTCAGACAACAGCAAAACCCAGTTCATAGCTTACAGTTCTTACACTGTCAGCACCAACTGAGCAATGGTGACAGCTAGTCTATTACACTGCTGTGCTCCTGAAGGCCAACGCAGGAGTGGAAATATTTCTCGACGTGGTAGTATTTGTAATGTAACTACTCGCACAAAGAAACAAAACCTCATTCTTTTTAATCTCCAGCAGTCGGCATCTCAGAAATCTCTTAACTTAACCAAAGCACTTAGGGTGCACAAACAACTTTTCATAATATCCTTAGTTACAATGTGCGGCGAGATAACACAAAAAATCACTGCACAGATGCCTGTGATAAGAGGTCAGTTCCAGAACACCCTGGTCCTGTCTCAAATAGAACCCACCGCAGCAACGTGAGCTAACGTGAACAAAAAGCAAGCTCCTGGCTTGGATCTCTCCCCAGCCCCCCACCCCCACACCATGCCTGTTTAAAACCCAAGGTACCATTGATGCACTGCAGATCTGGACTGAGAGGTAATGCTGCAATCAACCCTATTGTGTTTTCCCAATGTCCCTCCCACCCCCCACCACACACACACACACAAGAAAGTGTGAGAAAAGAAAGACTTGGCACGCTTCTTATACTTAACTGTGAAGTTAATCACTGTAGACATTCGAGAACCAATTGACCCATTGAAGAATATTTTACTTTTGACCTGACCCATTGATGAATATTTCACTTTGACCTTCCTTTGAAACATCGGCAGAACGTCCACAAAGCAGAGAGTCATGGACTGATGAAAGGCAACAGAAGGCCCTGATCAGGACACGTTAGAGCAAAAATCTTTCTTAGTGAAAGAGCATTCTGAAGCCAAAACTTGGCACAGCTAACCATATTTCTAATGTGGTCTGAACTTACTATTCTGTCTAATAAACCAAATAGAGATTAGGTATGGTGCAAGCAACAGAACTGGTGATGAAGAGGATATAAAACACACCTGTCCCACAACAGAAAACAGGCATGAAACCACTGTGTATTGAAGGGGGAAGGGAAAAGAAAAACTAATTTTCCTTACAATGAATGTACTGCCTGGTTATGTATTCAGATCAAGGATTTTATAAATGAAAGTAGCTGCAACTGATCTAGTTCATCCAGCCTTTGACATTCTTCTATCCACATTTCCCATGTTCATCTCATGGGTCTGAACTGCTTTCGGCCAGCGCTTTGTAGTCTCTTTGGAAAAACAAGTTAAGATGACGCTTAATAGATTTTACTTGGCAAACTTGCCACGCGATTTTAAACAAAAAACTCCAGAGTGGTCGAACTGAATTGCTGTGAACATCTGCGCTGAAAAATATCTAGGAAAAAAAAATGTAAAATGTTCCAACTCTCTTGCTGTTAATATTTTATGTTCTGCTACTTTCAGTTCACCGGAGACTAACATTTCAAATTACAATGTTTCACTGCAATGTATTCCTGGTGCTATTGTGTTTTTTGAGTCTGAGGTACATTTCAGTGGCTGCATACATTGCAACAGCAGCAAAAAATTCAAGGTAAGTTAATTGTACACCTTGTTTGCTCAGCTGTTTGCAGCAATAAATGTAGAATTAACAATGGACAATGTTGGGGTGGGGGTGCCACAGATTTTGCTGGTTGCCATCAGGCTTAAAGTGATCATGCTGTGCACCTTAGTATTGAGAGCAGCTGTATATACACCAACTAGGTGTTGCAACGCAACAGTTTAAAATGAAAGTCTGAAGCCACAAATCTCTCTTATTCAATCCAAAGCGAGTGCTCTTAAGAACATAAAAAATTGCTGGTGAAAGAAGACCAAGGTTCATCCAGTTCGCCTTCCACCATCCTTGACATATCGTGTCCCCAAACTATATATTGTTTCCCAAAAAGCTATTCAGCCTTGAAAAGATAGGCCTCAAAAATGGAATATATGTATATATATATATACATATATAGGTGTGTAAGATGCTAACCCACAACTCAAA